TGCCACTTGGCGTATCGATATTGGTGCCTTAACCTCTTTATCGCACCAGCTTTTGAGCTTGCGTTTTAGTTTTTTTTCTTGTTTGATCCTCTCTCTTTTGAAAACACTAAGTCTTCATATGTCCATTGTCTTTACGGTTGCTTGGATACTATGTTCTCGATTTGCTTGGATACCTCCTGTAATTGTTTATCATTTAAGTTATTCCTACCTTCTTTTTTTTTTTATTTTGCATTTCTGGTTTTACTGTGCTAAATCTGATCTTGATCCTCTTATGGTCGCTCCCCAGACTTTTTGTGCCTTCCTCGTCTATTTCCATACCTCCTAATCTGTTGTATATCTTACGCGACATTAAAAGTAAATAGTCTAGTGCGAGTTCTTTCTTTTCCATGTTATTTTTCCATCACATTTTTCATCACATTTCACCTGAGCGTTAACCAATACCAGATTCAAGAGCTTTGCAAAACTCCACTAACATCCTCCCTGTTGTATCCGTATGTCCATCAAAGTCTTCCAAATACGCATTCATGTCCCCCAAGATAATTTTTTTGTTAGCGCAGATTTCCCTAACATCTGCTGATATACATGTCAAGTGTTCTGCATTTTCCTCCCCTAAATCAGTCCCTGTGGTGCAGGGAGTGATGCAGGAGAGTGATGAAACAAATTGTTGCCTGACTTAAAAGTTTAATTTTGGCTGGCAAAAAAATACCTTTTTTCTTTTAAATATGCAGCATATAATTCATATTGACACAGTTACTACTAAGAGGTGATATTCTACAAGAAAATTGTATCAGTGTCATTTTTGTGTGTTTACTGGCAATTTTACAGCGACTTCTACTGTAAGCTGCACTTCTGCAGCTTTTTTCTGTCTCTGTTACCCATATGTATGATGGGAGTAAATAAGCAAATTAAATCGAAAAGTTGTGTGACAACAAGGTTGGGTAGTAGCGGCCACGGTCATGATACATAAGTTTTGGTTTTGAAGCCTCATCAGCGCAAGCCTTCAAGTGTCGGCGGGCCAAATTGTCTAGCACAACACGAAGAACAGCTCCGCAAAAGAGCAATCAAGGGAAAATGAATCCTTGCAAGCAAGTCTATTTGGGCCTTCAACCATTTTGAAGTGCTGAGAAGCCTGTGTGAGGCGGCAGTTGTTCCAGGCATCTTCTAAAGCAGGGTGACTTGCAATGGGTCACACACAATTTTCCAAAGATAAGATAGCGAGAGGCGAGAGGAATGGCCCCCAGAGCTCCGTCCAACAGCCCCGATGGAGCAGCCCAAGGATACCTTGGCTGGTTGCGCATCGGAGCCAAGGAGACCGAGGCAAAGACAAGATATGAGAGACCCCCAAGTCAGATGTATCGGACAAAGTGGTCCCACAAGATCTGGACCAATATTAAGGATGTCGCGAACCACCCTAGGTTCTATTTCGAAAGATTTCGATATTTGCGAAGCGAACTAAGGTTCGATTTCGAAAAATTTCGATATTTTCGTACCGACCTAGGTTCGATTTCGAAAAATTCGCAACTTTTGTCCACAGCGGAGTTTCGAATTCGAAAATTTCGAAGCTTTCACGGTTTCTAAAATTTCGAATTCGAATATTTCGAATATATTTTTACTTCAGGTTCGATAAATTCGAAGATTTCGAAATTCTTTATAAAAAAAATTCGAAAACTTCGAACGCTTCGAATTTTTATAGACATGAGGTTCGAACAATTCGAAGATTTCGAATTTCTTTTGGCTTAAAGTTCGAAAGTTTCGATTCTCTTTTAACGCTACATTCAAAAAAAAAAAAAAAACTTTGAAGGTTTTGAATTTTTTTCTAATCCAAGTTTTCAAAGTTTGAAGTCCGATTTTCAAGTTTTTCTACAGTTTCAGTTTCAAATAACGTTTTCACGACTCACTTGTTTTCACAAAATCAAGTTTAGAAAAGTTAGGGTGTGATATCTAGATTCTGCGAAGTTGGTAAGGCAATTAAATGAGACGACGAGTGTCCCGGACGTGCTAGAATATTTGCCAGTGCAGAATTGTGACCGCCAGCCCCCAGGGGGGGGGGGTCTTTATCACGCAGTAGTGATTGCACGAACACACTGTTTTACGAGACTCATCCAGTTCGAAACGGCCAGGGGCGAGCAGGAGGTTGAGGCTCAGAAAAACCTTGAAGCGACCTGGCAAACTAGCTCGCCACCCCTTGCACGCTGGTAGTAATCCGATCCGGTGAAGTTTATAATTGTCCTGGAGGTTTATTTTCTGGGACGGAGGAATCGCCTCGCAAAAAGCACAAAAGCCGACAGTCGAGGAGCGTTCTACCATACAAGTGGCGTCCGAAGAGGAAAAACGGGGGGAAAGAGGGTAGCGGGGGGGGTGGGGGGGGGGGGGGCTTCAGCCTCCTTCTCCCCCTTGCAGGTATTTCGGACTGTTAAAGAAAACAATACGGGGAAAGAGGGCGTGGTCGAGCTTATTTTAATCTGAAATTATTTATGCATATGTATAGCTACTGTCGCTCTTCACAGCATAAAAGGTTGCGTAGATGGTCACTGTTAGAAGCTCGTTGTCAGAAGGTACTGCTCGTCACATGCTTAGTGGTTCGGAAGTTCAAAGCTGTCTTTTCGACCTAAACACCTGTGCCGATAGTAACAAAAGAAAAAAAAAAGAATAAATGCGGGAATAAAAAGCAGGAGAGAAAAAAAAAAACTATCAAGAATTCGTCGGAAGTGTTCTATTCGTGCATATTTAGAGGTTCAGAACTTCGAAACAAGTTTCTTTTACCAAAATGTGTACAGGCTAAAAGAAACACGTCCCAGGAACGTGAAGCGAAAAAAAAAAAAAGTTTTCTTTTAATGACGTGCTGAACTTGAACACTACTAGAAATCTTCTGCAATGAGTTCATTTATTCCTTAACGTGAAAAAACAATAAATATATTATGTTGTATTCTGCAGATGGCAATGATATGTACTGTCTGTGGTGCTAATTTAAATGCGATACCTCAAACAACTTAGACGAAAATAAATATCAAGTTTAGGTCATTAGTGCATGCAGATACATGTTTGGACATTTCTTCGAAACTCGCGTTGAATAACAATAATCACATCTTAAGACGGCACTTACCTAGGCTATACATAAATCATTCTTAAAAAAGTATAACATATCTACCATAAATAGCTCCGGCTGCAGCGTGCTTCAAATCTGGCACAAACGATAATCGTCAAAAACCCGTCGTCCATCCTCGCCCCTTCGGGGATTTATTTCTTTAAACCTAAGCACGCCAGAACATTGAAATAAATGACATTGTCTTTTGTAAGGAACGCAGCACCGCGTGTAAAAGTTCGAGAAAAAAAAATTACGAATGTACCCCACTCCTTGAAATCAAATGAAACCGGCCGCCGGTCTTTCGAAGTTCGACGAACGTCGAACTTTTACCCTAAAAGTTCAAAACTTTTCGAATTTTCTTGATAAATAAGTTCGAAAGTTCGAAATTCATCGATTTTTTTGGTCAGTCAAGTTCGAAAGTTCGACAAGCATCGAACCTTGCAGCGCAAGAAGTTCGAAAGTTAGAAAAAGATCGAATTTTTTAGCGTAATAAGTTCGACGGTTCGAAAAGCGTCGAACTTCTTAGCTTAACAAGTTCGAAAATTCGACCTCGGTCGAATTTTACGATATAGACAATTCGAAAAATCGAAATCTTTCGAACCTTTCAAACCGCTTGATTCGATCATCGAAACTTCGATTCGAAAAAAGTTCGCGGCATCCCTAACCAATATGGTCTACAAGGATCGGAACACCAATGGAGGAAAGGAACAAGGACGCTCGCATATCTGTCACATCCCAACACAAACTTTGAAGGGCAGCAAGGAGCCAGAGGACAATGCTAAAGCCGATGAAAAGAAGGCAAGGACGCTCGTGCAAGGACGAGACACGATGTTGGAGGAATAGGATGGCCTAAAAATCTTCGCCGCAGATGTACGGGGCACAGAAGGGCATCTTTCGGAAAGAGAGTTTTTAAAACAACACCAGGGGAAGTCGTCTTTTATTTGATGCACGGGCAGGGACTCTTCAAACAAGAGTGTGGAGAGGCCGTTTCATAAAATTGGGTTGTTTGTGTGTTTATATAGCCTAGAGCTTGGTCTGCCTCACAGGGGCGACGAGTCTCCCAGCTGTAGATGAGAAATTTAGCCAGTGCGGTACAACCGCTAGCCTGGGGTCTTTAACGTGCATCACGCAGTAGTGATACATGACCGCACGCCGGTACGATGCTCATCCAGATCGAAACGGGCAGGGGTGGGGCTCGAACCCAGGATCCCTGGGTTCTGCAGCGCGAGCTTTCGCTCCACGTGCTCCGAGCTGGTGTGCGCTAGACCACTCGGCCCCCGATCCCCCCAGGCCGTTTCATAGAAGACCTAGAGACCGCTTGTACCATCTGTGAGACGGAGACACATAGTGATGGACTGCGGGCTTGTTCCTGGAGGTTCTTTCCATTTGGACGGGGGTGGAAGCCAACATAGATTCGGCAGATGCAGCGCAAGAACCGAGCATTAGAGATTCCACCAAAAGAAGGCTGGAGGACTGGTGGTGTTGGAGCAAGTATTTGATGTACCTATAATCTGTCACCCACAAAAATGTAATAGCGTTTTTTCTCTGCAAAAATAAACTATGGTTTACTGAACGCTCCTTCCACACCCAAGTGTAACGCTAGCAGTCTCGGAACTAACCATTCTCATTCAAAAGTTACGATTTTCTAGAAATTTCAATGGGAAAATTGGGCCTGTTTTTGCTAGTATTCGGTAACTGGTGCCATTCAGTAGAGTTCCATCAACCGCCATCAGTCCAAACCTATCTGCTGTGGCATGCACATCCACTTGGCAGTCCATTTCTTGGAGACGAAACTGTCACAGTGAGGTCCTAGCATGGCACAGGACAGCAAAACAAGAACTTTCCAGAGAGTGGCTATGCCAATGACATATTAACTTCAGCTAAGACCTGGAATGGCTGAAAAACAACAATAAAGCACTGTGGAAGCTCAAACTGTCAAGATTTATTTGTGAGAAACACAGATAAAGATGTCTGCAGTTACACATTTATCATCTGCAAAGTTTATTCAACACAAACAAGAGTAAAAAAATCCACAATGCATATATACAAGTGCATACAATGCAAAACTAAGCACACTCCACAGGATCCTGTACAAAAGACATCATCTGGCGTACATGACACCTACGGTCAGAGAATTCTGACATGCAGACCAAAGCAACAAGGAAACAACCGTCGGGAACAAAAGTACAGAGTAACGGAATATTGTGATCACCTAACCGACAAGAGAGACCGATATCACAAAAGCATGTGTCGTATAAAAACATGATTACGAAGATGATGCCAGAGTAGAGAAGGAAGGCAAGAACCAATTCACAATGAGCCGGTTTGACAGTTCGGTAAAGATTACCTTTTTTTTTTAACACAGCGTGGAACACGCATTACACAGTATTAAAAATCGGTAGACAGTCACTCCATAGTAAAACCTGTTGGGTAGTGTGGGAATTCGACTGTACTTGGGGACAACTTTTCTTCACATTTCAGAGGAGAGCTCGTGCAAAGCTTTGGTCAGTGCTTAACATAGAAGTGGGCACGTGTGCCAGTGCCTTTGACTGCTTTGCCAAGAAAAGTCGTCCCAGGGTATAGCAAGGTTCAAATGGGGAGCACAAACAGCTGTAGTGCACACAAGCACTCAAAATTGGCTCCCAGCCGAGTTCATAGCAAAATGGAAAGGCATGCTACAGGACATCAAAATTAAAATCCCCAAAATTACTTCCTACTTGCTACAGTACCAAGGCTGCAAAAACAGAAAAAAGGAAGTCTGAGAATTTAAACTGCCAGACTTTTTTTTTAGATAGACAAACCACAACTTCGTCACACATTTATTTTTGCAAGTGTATACCTTTAATATAGACCAGAGTAAAAACAAAACAATGAAGACAGTTTTACAAACATATTAGACCACACCTGAAATGAGCACACCTCGAGCAAGTGCAAAGGATCTCTGAACAGGAGCAAAAGCATGGCCTAGTGTGCATTCAGATGAGGAACATGCAACAGTTTAGCTACACTGATCTATTTCCATCTATTGAAAAAATTATAGGTTTGCAATTACATTGCTGGCAAGAAATTTCTCCCTACTCCTCAACACCTTTGTGCAAATACAAACAGTGGCAATCGGATGAGAGGCTCATGATCAATGCAAGAGTTTAGCCATGGTTGCACAATCAATAAGGTAACCAAACTGGATATTCGACCGACGGTTCTTGGACGTCATTGGCAGTTCCCTGCCACCAGATTAATGTAATCTCCCTTGGGATCATCATCCTCTGCTTTGGCACATGCCCCACAGGTGAGACGTGTTAAATGGCTGTCACTTGTAAGGTTATCTTGCATAAGCAAATGAGCATGGCAAATGAGATTATTAGAGAGAAAAAGACTTTAGAGCACTGCATGCACTTATACAGAGTGTTTCACGAAAAGTGGACAAATTCGATATTGCGAAAACTACGCATTCCAGACAGTTGTGCTTCGTTCCGGCTTTCCTTCCGGCCTTCCTTCTTCCCAGCTAGAAATTTTCCTGTCTGTGTCGCCTTCATTTTCTCCCTACCGCCCCTCACCTACCCTTGTTCCCTCTTTTTCGCCCTCCTCCTTTCTGTCTCTGGGTCTCTTGGGCCGGGTGCCGGCGCCTAATGAAGCTATTTGTGTTGAAAGTCAAAAGATGTGCTGTTCTGTCCGTCTCTGTTTATTCTTTCAGTTTTATTCAACTTTGCCAACGCGCCCACGTCAAACTAAGTCAGCATCAAGTTGCGATTTTCTATAGGCCCAGTGGTTCATAAAATCGATTGTAAAAGATTGTTCGAGACGCGGTGACCAAGAACACAGTGCCAGTGCGGTTCCGCTCTCAGTGCGAAGCGCTGGGAGCAGAACCGACTGGAGTTACGCTCTTAGTGGGAGCGCTGGGAGCGGTTCCGCTCCCAGCGCTCCGACTGGCTTTATCCTGCATTTTCGGAGCCACGAAAACGCCGCAGCTATTTGTTTACAAGTGCCCTGCTTTGCAGAGGCCATGCGGGCCATCTCCTTTTAGCAACGCGAGTAGGTGTGTTGACTTTGTAGTGATCGAGTTCGTCGCAGTCGACCGAGGCGGCTGTCCCGTCTTGAAAAGAGGCAGGCATTTGGGCCCGTTTAAATACACATTTCATCATTGCATGTACACAATTCCCAAACAACCCCAAACAAGCATTGCCGGAAAGATCACCTGATAATGAAACTAATGGTGGCCAACTCTGTTGCTACTCACCAAAGCACCTGAAGCCTTTGGCGAGGCACGAGTTCAGGCCTAAGTAATCTTTGTGAGTGAGCCTATTTCCCGTTGTGGCACTGCTCTTACTAACACGTTGTTGTCACGGCATTCCATCGAAGCTTCAGACATCCATGAGGTGGTTTTTTGGTTATAGTTAAATTCAGTTTAAAATATGTTTTCTTGCGTTATCCTACAAAATATTGGTTTTGGTAAAGCCCTACTTTAACCCTCTTTAGGTTTAAGCAGAGATGAGCTCCAGAATTTGGTTTCCGTACCCCTTCAAATGGCTTTTCATCACTGTGCGTTTGATAATGGCAGATCAGGTTGCAATGCTAAGAAAAGGCTTTGGGGCACAGGCAGAAATAAATGGCTTTTTACTAGTGTGTGTTCAATTATGGTGGGTCAGACTGGAATTCTGAGCTAACGCTTGAGGACAAAACTTACACTTGTATGGTTTTTCACCTGTGTGGGTTCGATTATGGCAGATCAGAATGTAATTCTGAGAAAAGGCTTGGGGCACTGCTTGCACTTAAATGGCCTGCCACCACTGTGTGGTGACAGGCCGTTTAAGTGCAATCTGCTACCTACGCAGCTTGCACTTAAAAGGCTTTTTACCACTGTGTGTTCGATTATGGACGGTCAGTTGGCAATTCTTAGCAAAGACTTGAGAACACAGCTTCTCACCAGCGTGTATTTGACTTGAGAACACAACTTCTCACCAGCGTGTATTTGATTATGGCAGATCAAATGGTAATCTTCGGAAAAAGTTTAGGGACACAGCTTGCACTTAAAAGGCTTTTTACCACTGTGTGTTCGATTATGGACGGTCAGTTGGCATTTCTTAGCAAAGACTTGAGGGCACAGCTTGCACTTAAATGGCTTTTTATCAGTGTGAATTCGATTATGGCGGATCAGACGGTAATTCTCAAAAAAGGCTTGGGGGCACAGCTTGCACTTAAAAGGCCTTTTACCACTGTGTGTTCGATTATGGACGGTCAGTTGGCGATTCTTAGCAAAGACTCGAGGACACACCTTGCACTTAAAAACCTTTTCACTGTTGTGCTCTCGAGTGTTGCTGGGCACTTGGGATCTAGAGGCAGGTGACATGGGAGGATGCTGGTAATCGCATTGTTCATTGCCATGGGCAACCAGGTGGCGCAACATCCAATGCTGATAACTGGTGACATAGGTGCAGGAACAGCATCTAAACGAGATGTTTTCGGTGACTTTCAGTGAACAGCTGGTCTCTCCCAAAAGTGCAGCTCCCTCTCCTGCAAAACCTCATGTGTATTAGGACACACTAGGAAAGCACAACAAAGATAGCCGCATGTTTTAAAAATAAGCAGCCATTATTGTAGTTCTGCTTCAGATGAGTGGTTCAATTTCTTTGTTTCCTTTTTATTTCAATTCAAATAAGCACTGAAATAGAGTTGACTCTATTAACTGTTTTGTTAGTGTGAACCAGATAAACCACCTTTCAAAACTTTTTTCTTTCATAAATGCTGTTAGTGATAGCTTTATATGGGAACTCTATTTGGGGCACCCTCATGTTGCTCTGACTGTATGACGTCTCAATGTCACATGACATAACAGTGGCATCAGTGTCATGTGACCAACATAATTTACCCACAAAACTGAGCTGGAAAATTGACGTCACATGACCACATTAATGGCACGGTATCACCTACATTTAGTGAAAAATGTCACTTGACCATGTCACATCATGGCATCATGCTCGTGTCACCCAATGATTGGTGATGTGACACCATCACTTGAAACAGATGTCAATTTTCCTCCTAAATTTAGCATCAAAATTTATGGGACATAATATGACGTCATGCAATGTCATGTCACCTCAGGTAATACGATGTCAGTGTCATGTGACACTACAACTTGGCACCGTGATGTCAATTTTTTGGTAGATTTGGAAGAGTTCATATCATGTGACCCCATGACATCACCGTGTCAAGTGCTGGAAAATGAATAAACAATATGTTCTTCACTTTCTGAAATGACTGTTTAATGTTGACTAAACAAATTTAAACGATCACTCTTTTAAATACTGCTATCCATGCATTATGCGACTTCATAGATTTGCGTTCCTGCCAATTGCTCAACTAAGTCGCTGCCAATGACTGAATTAAGCATACACACTTATTTCCAGAATTATGCTTATTACATCATGTTGTGTGAAAGATCTGTTTCAATATATTCGCAGAAATGCTGAAATCTACCTAACAAAAAACCTTACGTAGAAAAAAAAATTGTTGACAATGATTGGTATCTCCAGAAAACTTACTTTTTGGGCAAAAACTAAACCCAGAACACCCTCTGGTTTAGCCACAAAATAAACTTGGAAAAAGCAGAATAGTTAGGTCAAATATTTGGTGCTAATGGGTAAAAATGACAGCAGAACCAGCGCTTCTTCATCTCACCTGCAAAAAGCCACTGGGACCCTGCGTCTGGTGCCATCGTGCGACATCATGAACAAATGGCATGCATTAAATTTTCTGCACGGCACACCTCCTCATATGCCACCATATTCACATGATTTGTAATCCTAAGCAAGTGATGGATCAATGAACATGGCTGAAGCTGATGCCTCTGAATCGAAAGGCGACTCACACCACCTAGTCGGTGAGAATGAATAAATCTGGCTATGCATTCACGCTAGAGGTTCTTGAGTCTCTAATACACAAATAAGTTATTATCACGTGGTGGTTTGCACTACGTACGCAGCATTACCTCATAACGTTTGATGGGCGCGTCTTTTAGCAGTCGGGTTTCGCACACACGTCGTGCCGAACAATTTAACACGTAAATGAAAATAAATGTTGATCCTTTGTTAAACTTATCCCACCAATCAGATAGCCTCTACCTGGTTACCTTTACATTCTAAAAGTCTACTGGCCCAACACTTTCATGCCTTTACTGAATCAGTCTCGCCTTCCACTGTTCCGTCATTTCAGGGTGAAGTCGGTGAAGTTGGGTGAAGCAACCAACTGCAAGACAAGATCACCAATATGTGGGGCAGAGCTTGGAGGGAGAGGCTTGTTCTGTTATTCTGAACTTGCTTGTAACCTCTTCCTTGTTTCATACCGGCTACGAGGCATCCAAGTTTAGAGGGCCCGGGGAGTCTTATTATGGGCATCTCACGAAACAGTGTTGTGCGAATATTCAAACTTTCCAATAGTAGTTTTAATGCTTGGTTAGAAGTACACTCAATGGGCCTAACTTGGTGCCATATTGCAGACGTATAGACCCTTTTGCTGTTTACAAATATAAACAGTCGCTTGGCGTCCCAAGCGATTTCCGGTTGCTCCGTCTTTGGAAGCCTGTCGAGCTAGCTTATGTCACCAGTGCTAGAAAGCATAAATGCAACACAGACAACTAAGTTGGAGATTTAACAAGGACCCTCGGCTGTATAATTTAATGTCTTGCAGGAGACAAGTTGGTTTACAAGAATATTAGAAAATCTAAACAGATCTCGCGCTGCATTCTTTTGGCAAACACCTGGCGAATTGGTAGTTAAACATTTCATCGACATTTCAAGAAGTGGTGCTACGGTGGGCTTTGCTCATTCTTTATATGAACCAATAATTCTCTGGGACATCAAAGACTGGAGCCCCACCTGGTGGCTTTTGCCATAAAAAGGGCCTATACTGTGTACACAGGGTATTTTTGCAAACACAAACCGAATTGCAGATTGCACAAAAAAAAAAAAGGTTTGTGCCAGTGCTTTGTGCCAAAGAACCCATTAAGGGAAATGATTAGTGTTCAGTATATTTAAGGTATTTAATCATTGTTGAGTCTTTAAAACTTTATTATTAATTTTAAAGGCTTGGTTTCAATTACAAACTAGTAAACCTACCCACTTTACAATGATGTAAGGGATGCGCGCTGCATTTTACTGCAATAAAAAGCAAATCCACCCTTTTCCCCAGATGTGGCACTACCTAGTGGCAGACATTTTTAAGCTGATTGAGACTGGGTTCGAAGGTCTCTTGGGCGGAAAATAAGGGTGCCTGTAGGCTTGATCTGTGCACGTTACTAGGTTTGTTACAGGTGTGTTTTCCAGCATGTCGGCATTCTGTTTAGTTTTTCTGGCTCCGCTGCTTTTCGGTGACAACTGAGGATGGCCGAGGACATCCCATTCTCGTTTCAGCCCGACGGCTGGGTTGAGAAGCCGATGCGGTTTGCGGAACTGTCACGAGACAAAATGCGACGATACCTGCAATAGAAGACGGATTCGCTGCGACAGACACACCGAGAATGGGCTTTTAAGGAAGAGGGTTATGTCCGCAGCGCTAAGCAGAACACCTCAGATGGCTCTGGAATATGCCTCGTCTGTATCTGCCTTCTGACGATCAAGGCACCGTACACGGTATTGGCCGGGCTCTCGAGAAGCATGGGGGCCTCATGAGCAGCTTTCTTTGCCTGTCACTTGCTACCTTTGGTGGACGCGGGACCTTTCCATCCCTCTTAGCGATCGAGATTGCAGCTGTTTCGTGTCAGCCAACACAGTCGACACAAAGGCTGGGTGATGTCGGTACAGCGATGGTTTTCCTGTCTAATAAAGTGACAATGTAGCAAGTGTGCAACTTTCTAGCGTGCTTTCCTGAGGTGCAATCATGGTGATTGACCTATGACGAAATGAGCTCCGCATAGCCTAAACGACTCTATTTTTGCGGGCTCTATATTTTGGAAATATTGAGAACATTTCACGGCCAGAAAACTTTGCAACTAAGGGTGGTTAGGTGTGTATTCTCTACCATAGAGTAATATATTCACAGTAATATTTAAGTCGAGAAATTCACAAACATTAGGATCTACCAAAAAATAAATGGTTTGTGGTAGATGGGTGTGCTCATTTGCCTCCCAAGCCTTCGTAGGAATGGAGTTAACATAATAATCTAGAGGAAAAGGTCACACGGATTAGGGCAGCCTGGGAACGGCGGGGCATAGACACAGACATTGACAATCCGGACGGGCCACTATCACTGGCGACGTCTTAATACGCACAAAGAAGCATCGAAACATCACTTTTAGCGGTCTGTGCCTTGTCCTTACCTAGCTTACTTTGCAGGAAAACACCGGAATCATGCTTTGTATAAAGCTAAGTAAGGTCGATAAAGCTCGAGCAACTTCAAGTCGTCGTGGCAAAACGAATACGTTTAACCTTTCGTCCGTTCTCCTTCACCATTCTTCTGTTGCTCTTTCTCATTCTTGCCTTCAAGACCGCCAATGTCAGCGCCCAGGATTTAACGCAGTCTGCTAGTCTTTTTCCCCCTTTTTGTAGAGCATGACGAGTCCGATTGCGTTCACCTCACAAACTCACACCACTCTACCATCAAAGGTCAAATTTCTAGCGGAGGAAACCGAAAAAACTCGTCTCCTCCCCCGGCCCGTGCCGATTCCGACATCCAACTTCGGCCGGCCAAAGGATGCATTGGCACGCTTAGAGTTCAAGTGGCACAAGAATAGCACACGGAAGGAGAACTTCAACCCAAAGTCACGCGTCCCTACGAAAGGGTGACGCCGGACAGGCCCTCCGCAGGTCGGTTCTTTTTCGTTTGTCTCTCAGCTCCCTGCTTGTCGAGAGACCGGCAAGGAGCTGAGCATCCCCTTTTCCACGAAATGCGACCGCCCAAGTTTGCAACCCTCAATTATGTCAGTCTTCGTGGCCAGAAGAATAAAGCAATGGGTGCTAGAGACTTCCGCAACGGTGGGTTGATGTCGCTTTTCTGCGAGAGACCAAGATTTCCGCAGACGACCAAGCGGAGGAGATGGCGCACTCTTTTGATCATTACTTCGACGTCTTCCTGTCGAGGGCTATTGGGCAGAGCAGGGCAATGGCGATAATGATCCGCAAGTGGGAGGCATTGCAGTCTGCCCAGAGTGAAAAGAGGACAGGCACGGGTGTGTGCCGTGGGAGTGCTGCTTTGTGGACAGCTTCACAAACTTGTATCTGTGTACACGGCGCCGTTTCCCACGGGAGACAAGAGATGGCACAAGCGGTCGCGACGCAAACTGCCGCCAACGAACGAGCAGACGACGCTGAGAGCAGGCGTATTTAGCAGACAAGGAACTGCAGTTCCTTGTTGTTACCACACCTGTTTTTGTTTTTCCGACTGTCACCGCCTGCGGAACGCGCGCCGATTTTGAGTCGAAAAGATTGTCTGCTAAAGACGCTGGCTCTCGGCGCCGTATGCTCGTTCGTTGCGCCATCTCTTGTCTCCCGTGCAAAACGGCGCCGTGTTGTTTGAAGACCGGTGGTGTCGCTGCGTTTCCATAGGAGCTAAGCCTTTTTCTTTCTTTACCTTTTCCTCAGGTAAATGCGCTCTTTGCAAATTTTACAAAAAAAAAAAAAAGCATCATCTGTGGGCAACGCTGCACAAAGTCGTAGCGCGATAGGTTAGGAAACCGATTTTTCCGGTCGATTTAAAGAGCCTGCCGTCTTCTTGAATCACCCGGTAGATTGCCCTACTCCAGGCTCTGCGCTACTCTGCTCCGAAGGACCTACGTAATGTCCATTGCGCAAATTTTGCGTACTGCGCATTTGTTTGTAAGAGAACTCACGCATAGGCAGGGGCGGATGCAGGAATATCCTGGGGGGGGGGGCGGGGGTCAGGTGTTGGTCAGCGTACCATATGTCGGTACCCCCTCCCCCTCGTTTCACGCCCTAAATTTTACACATGCAGAAATCAAGAGGGGGGTCAGGACATCCAGACCCCCCCTCTAAATCCGGCCCTGTGCATGGAAGGCACTTTTCAAAGCAACGCGCTCGTGCTCATGCCTTTGTCTGCACTGCCGATGTTTGTGTGTAAGGTGGCAACATAAATCCCGTGTTTACCTTCGCGCCTCTCCACGCAGGGGTCTTGCGAATGCACTGCGGACTCGCCGAGAGCTCTTGAGTAGTTGAACACGGAGGGCACGAAGTCGGGGTGGTCCCTGAAGCACGATGGCTGTCCTAGAATTCAGCACCACGTTATAATCGAGCAAAACTCGCCAGAAGCTTACGAAGTCGCACCTGTGATGAAGTGCGCGCTGCAGATCTGGCAATCCTCGCTCGGCTCCCACAGCGAGCCGCCCGGGTGCACTCTCCTTACAGCAGCTATCCAAGCGGCTCTCTTCTCAGGACTCAAGACTTTCGACGGAAATCGAAACAGATCCACGGTGACTTTGCGGTAAAGATGATTGGTACTACCACACACGACACACGAAGCTGACATTGTCAGTAGTGTCGTCGCATACTTTCGTCAACGACGGCTGCATGGCTGATTCGCGACTCGCGAGCTCGGCCGGCTCGGCTGCTCGCGCATCGACCGCTTGGCTTGGTTTGACCTGCAGATGTCCCAACAAGACTCAAGCTCGTTGAGATGTCCTGGATGATGGGTGGCACTGGTGACACAAAAAGAAATCTGGGTACCAGTTGGCCACTTAGTTTCGGTTTCAGTTTCAGATTTTCTCATGATGCCGTGACGGGACACGCTGCTTACGTTTTTATTGCTGCGATTTCCTACAAGTTTACAATGCAGTAGGGTTTGCTGAGAGATATCGAAAAAACACTCAGCATTGTTTTTGTGGTTCCCGATGTGCCGGATTTTGGGCAAAGGTAGGCACATGTAGAACGATAGATTCTGCATGGAGGCATTTTTGAAAGTTGTCTATTGTCTTAAAGGACACATGCAAAGGAAAAAAACATTTTTTTTAAACGGCTTAGATGGAAAAAGGACGCCATAAAACGATTTTACAACGAAGAAAAAAAAATTTTAGAGCTATATTTACGGCGCAAAACGAATTTGTAGTTGGCGCCCGCGGGCACCGCGGAAAAGTGGTCTGTATTTATCACGTGACTGGTCTTTATTTATCACGTGGTGCTTGCGTTCTTTCAGAAGCTTCCTATGGCCTCTAACAGTAACTTATTCATCTTTGTTTGAAGTAAAACAAAAAACTAAGATGAATAAGTAACTTTTAGAGCCCAAAGGAAACTCATGAAAAAGCGCAAGCAGACGTGATACCGGCGACTAGAGACAACTTCGGCGCGCACTTTATTGGATGAAATTTGGTGACGTCACGACCAATAGGAGCACGGAAACAGACGCGGTCTCCTCAACGCCCGGAGAAACATCGGAAACATCGTGCCTGACGAACCGTCGTCGAACGAAAGGTGAGTGGTTTGAGTTTTCCTGTGATGTGATCTCTATGTGTGTTCGTTCCACGCGTCCGAGCTGTTTCTTCGTTTCAGATCTATTTGGCGCCGCTGCCTACATTGTTTGAGCCTGCGTTCACGATTAAAACAACCATCGCAGAAAGCTGAAAGCCCGCCGAAGAACGGCTGACTTGCGAGCTAAACCTATTTCAACAAAACCATTTGATCCGACAGAATAATGTGCTTCATCTTACATTTCATGTTAACAAAGAACTGCGCTGTCTGTCTTCGTCCCTGCATGTTTTATTCTTTCGTGTTTTTCAAATCTTTACCAACCCGCGTCCAATCGAATGCCCCGATCACAACAAATAGTTGGTCGTGCTCCGATGGCCCTTCCGGTAAGGCAGTTACGTTTTTCGTTTCTATATTTTGACCCAAGTAACGTCATATTCTCAAACTGTGAAATTCTATCACCACCTCTAGTTTCACATTCTGGTGCACCGTGCACTTGCAGCTTCCTGCACCCCTGCGAGGTTTCCTGCGATCGTACCCTGTATATGATGGATTTCTCGCCGCACGCGAGTGCTCTCGAAGGCGTGCTATACACTCTGTAACATAGGTTGTGTGCAGAAAAGGCACAGGCCCGAGCGCAAAAGCGCCCTTTTTGCACGAGCAGCCGTGCAAAACGAACATTCTGCGGAGCTACGCCCTCGCACCCGTGCCTCGGCTGCACACAACTTATTAATAACCGAGCCGTTCTCGTTTTTGTTTTGCATATTACTGTGAAAGAAGTGTCATGGTTGTTTTCTTCTCGAACAAAACTCACACGCTAGACAAAAGCAAACAGATAGGAGTCTGCACATTCACACCCTTTTATCCTTGTGCGACAGGTTATAGCTGGTCGCGATTCAACACCGTTTCTTTTGAAGCTGATGGTCACCACAAGGCGTGAAAGAGGTGACTTGCAGCTTTGCCAAGGCAGCAGCAAGACACTACAAGCCTTCGCATTAACTGGCTAGCCAGTGCCGCTCTGTTCTGAACAGCACTGCGTGCCATGCAGAGGGTTTGTGCAAGCTCGCTGAGTGGCGACGCTAGCCACGGTAAGTGCATCCTATGCAGCTTTCTTTTAGAGATATATGTGGCTTGCAGGCCATGTCGTGCATGTGCCACCCGAGGGACAGCAGTGCCAGTGACAAGGCTGTGCTGATGGTAATCACCACTGCACTGTGTTTTCATTCAATAACTACTGAAAAGGAACCAAGTACTTCCGAGAGATTCTCGGTTGTGCTTTGATGAACTCCAGCTCGCTTATGAACAGGTGGATGGCACAGCTGGCTTTTCCTAATAGACTTGATGTCTGTGTTAACAATGCAACGAGACTTCTTTTTAGTTTGGGGCGTTATTTCTGCTGCGGATGACTAGCGTTGCAATAGAGAAATATGCAAAATAGTGTAATGCTTGCATTAGTTACCTAAATTAATGGCGGGAATAACTGACCTACATTTCCACCGACTGCATTTCTCAGAGGAATAGCCTGGACTAGATAGCTCGCTGTACTACGTCCTTCCTCCTTAGCCTGTACAACTCGGCGTCTTCCCCTGATTGTCTTATGTTGCTGCTTCTGTGTTTGCCTAGGCACTCGGTTGAAATAGTGAAAGCTGTCTGCATCGCACATAACTGCCATGAAAGCCAGTGTGGATGTAGCTGGGGTAGCCCCCAATATGGCTTCTCTAGCTCGACACAAGTAATGTTCCTACCACTGTCGTGTATGATGCCAATCCAAGATTGAAATATACTTGTGCTTTTCATTGCCGTGACGTCACGCAGGCACATAGCCAGGATTTTGTTTTGGGGGCGGGAGGCGGCAGCGGCGGAGCGGGCCGGGCCGGGCTCCATGAACCCCCTCTAGTTACGTGCTTGTGTCACAGGATGACGGGCTCACGGTTCGAGCGGCTGTGTAGAAATGAACTATGCCGAGCATTTGTTTCGTGCTGCTGGGTGGGATTTGGGGCGACCTTCCAAAGCATTCTTTTGACACCATGAAACTGTTTGTGATCAGTTGTGAACAAAGTCTACAGCCCTAAGAGTGAACCTTTGCCTTCCCATGACGTCTCAATTTCAATGTTGCCAGTAGAGCTTTTCACTTTGAAAAACACAATGATGACCAAAATTGTAAATTCTGTGACTTTGCGAAAAAAAGCTATTTCGGTTACTATTTCAGCGATGTTTGTTGATGTGTTTAGCAAGTTTTTAGGCAAATCGGGGACAATGAAGAAAATGCTGGAGTGCACCTTTAAAACATGGATTGCACGTAGTACACAATGGAGAAGTTGCTCGCCAATCATTCTCTTAGAAGTGTGAGTTGAGCCCCTTCGAGGCAGTTTACTGCCGCAGCGTGCACTTTAATCTGCCCGAGAAGAGAAAACGAGATCAATGACGAGTAGGATATCTTTGTTCCAAGGCTTCTTGAGACAGGAAAGGCTAGGGAACCAGTATTGTTGGTTCTTACTACCCAATACGAGACTCAAATCCGACATGCAAGGAAGTCGAAAGGCCTCTTCATGTGCCCTCTTTCTGCTTCCTTGTGCCTTGAGTTTTAGCTGTGTCTACAATTCACGCTCGCCTGCATGCCTACTCTTTTGGTCTCTTTTTTGTTCACTGTGTTACTGAAGTTTTCTGTCCTTGCTGTCCCAGAATTGCATTGTGGATGCACAGAAATACAAGGTGCTCGACGCCTGCGGCTCTTTAATATTGCTTCTCCCGGTACCACGACATGAAGGAGGTGGCCTCTCTCCCTTCAAAGCAGCTGCGATATACTACAAGCACTGGGTTACAACTGCAGCTAGCCCATGGGTACCGTTCTGCATCCTGCACGGGATGTAGTTCCGAGAGCCATGTGAAAAGGCAGGTGTGACCTTTTTAGGCACTGTCACTTTGTTTTGTGCATTTTCTGCCGTTTTTTTGGGGCAACTTCTTTTTAAGATTCAAATATTAGAAAACGGACTCAAGTGAGAGAGGGGGTTTTCTGAGAAGACTTGCTTCTTTGCTAAACCATTGGGACTGGTATTATATCTATAGAGTTCATGTACACCTTACGTTATGTACTTTTTCTTTAGTTTTATTTTACTCGGTACTTATACTTCAATGTTACACGATAGCCACTAAAAATGAAGAAAAAACAAAAAAAAAATGTTGACTTGTCGGTTTTTTGTTTTTGTTTTTTTGCAATATTGTCACAAATAAACAGGCGAGAAAACAAAGAATAACTGGAAAAACTGAAACGTTTAATGGGGCGAACTTGTGCCCAAAACTAAAAGGGTACAAAAGATAATAACAGAGCGTCGTGGGCGTCGAAGTCGGCGTAACAGCTGAGTCGAACGCTGGGGCGAGACTGACTCCGCTCGCCCTGCGGAATCCCTTATGTACCCTTGTGGGTTTCTGGATCGTTCGGCGTAGAAGGTTCGGCGCGTAGAACATTCTAACCTCGAATCAGCAAGACGGTTCTCGAATTCACCAGAACATCAAATTACACTGTCAACAAAAATGTGTAGTCGCGACTAGGAATCGAACCCTTGCTTTCAGCGTGGAAGGGACGCGCGATAACCGTTACACCACGGTTCTTGGCCAGCTGCGCTCGCGGCAATATGTTGGACGAGTCAATGATGTGGTCGGTCATTCATGTTATTTTTCCTACACGCACGTCCAGCCTATGTTTACATAAAGCACCAATTGCCCCTTAGCAACGGAAATAATCTGTGCGACAGAGTAGGCGGCAGCATTGTGGACGGAAACTGGCCTGATTATATCTGCCATGTTTAGAAACTACATTTGATGTCAGGTTATGAATTCAGTGGCAAATTCCCCCCAAAAGAATCTACATCACTCTGCCAGCCAATCGCTGCCGTCAGTTGTCGTGACGTCACGTCCAGCAAAGAAACTACAAACTAGTATTCTTTTTTTTTTTAATGGCAGGCCTCTGCTGTTGATGCCACTTAGCACGTCAACACTCAAGCAATTCTTCCGCTCTTGATCTCTCCGGTTTCGCCTTGCAAAGTCGTGACGGTGTCTGCTTTTGTTTGCGGTATTTCCCATGTGTCGACGTGAGAAGGCAGTGGTTGTATCGCCAAGGAAGTAGCAATCAATCTGTGGATTTGCTCCAGCGGCACAGTGTTACAAACAGGACTCTTTCACCAAAGGCAGTCTAACGACTCGCCCTACAGTTGCCAGCATCGTGCAGCCGTGAATGCGTAACTTGTCCGAACGCTTTTATGCTTTCGTCTGTGTACAGTGACAAAATGACTCGTTGAATGCGAAATGCCGTACAGCAAACTACAGTAGAGTCTCATTAATTCAAACTCCAGGAAGTCACATATTTTAGTTTGAATTATCAGAAATTCATCTAAATATGATACTAGACAGCGTTATGATTTGTTACATGGATAGCTACTCATACAAAGCAGATTTTTGCCAGTTTCCTCTACATAGGCCTAATTATAAGCAAGTACAGGCGTAACACATTAGTGAAAGAGCTGTGACATTGAGTTTA